AAATAGTTTTGTCTAACTAAAGGTTGTCTTAACTTCTCATATCCATATATAGATAGATAGATTTTGTGCCCCATTTCATTAGTTATTTATACCTCATAGTGTATATAGCTGTGTACATAATAATCTTATCCTACTCGCTTAATGTTGTTCATTTACAATTAAATAAAATAAAAAAGTGCTAACTACGTTTTGAGCATTTTCGGCATATGTTACTAATTCTTCGCAAGTACAGCTCTAATTACAAAAGTAGGAAGATGTTTATTTCTTATGCGGGGAGGGGAGGTACTTTCTACATATATGTAGAAAGCGAAAATTGCATATTTTTAATGAAATTGTAAAGCAGAAAATATTTAATTTTGTTTTTCAATACTAAACAATTTTGTAGAATCCTTTTCGACCCACAGGAATGTAATAATTACCCAAGGGTTTACAAGAGTAAACGAATGCACGTACACTATATCCGTATGTAATTTTAAACAATTCTAATTACAGCCTATCTCTTGTATGTTTGTAAGTTTACCTTTCCTTCGTTTTCCTAATCAGTACTCACCACTAGTAGAGAGTCGCAAAGTTTTGCAATATTCTCCTAATATATGATATGCCATAGTCATTGCATTGCCAATTTAACAATGTGCATCTTACTACCATTAAATTGTTGTTTTTTTTTTATATCTCTCGTTGAAGGAAAAGCGTAGACTATATATATAGTTTTCCTTTCATTTGTATAACATGATGCAACAGCAAGCATATCGAAGATCTAACAAAAGAGTGAACGCTGGATAAGCGTAAAAATCGAAATCAGCTCAGCTATGGTCGTTTAGTCATGCTTCTGTCCGTGCATTCGTTTCTCTCTTTATCATTGTGCTGTCTGTTATTGAAACGCTCAAGGGCGGAAACTCTATTTAAGTTAACTTAGAGGATCATATCATCAATTGGTCTATGCATTCGCTTATAATTTAAAAGAAAAGAATTAAAATTTTAATCGTTTGCCTTATTAGCTTTAAGCTTGAATTGAAACTTTTCTTTAATACGAATATATATACATATATATAATGTCAACAAACACCTCCTATTCACGCAACGCAGTAACAGTCAGCAGAGAAGAGAAAGACGAAGACTAGCGGATGTGTGACCAATCGATAAGTGTTATGCCTGAGTGTTAAGATTGAGCCCTCACTATAGCTACGACCGAAGTAAACAATATCACACTGAGATTTAAACTCGCGAATAGTGAGAAACGTGGTAGTTACGAGTCTTATCTACTCGGCTACTCTTGCGGATATAGTCAACGATCAATTAAGCTTTAAGATCAAACGCATTATGAATTAACAAAAATCTGCAAACACATTCCCACGCACACGATTCTTACTTTAGGTAACTCAATAGAATGATATTCTAGAATTGTATACAAAAGAACAAAAATATGATATGTGATTAGATACGCGATACATTTATTTTATTATCGATTCTCCCTGCTAGCCGTCAATTGCGTCGGCAGATAATCAATGCATTATCAATGTGCATTTGATTTTCACATTAATGGAATTTTGTGATTTTAACAAAATGCTCACAATTGTATAAAATATCTAGGCTACCATGAGGAATTACATTATTGTGACAGCTTAAATATGAAACTTTTTGATAGTTTGTTCGAAGTGCAAGAAAAAGGTGAGAGAATAAAAGGGAAGGGGCGCTAAGCATACATTTAAGTATTTAAAAAAAAAAAAAAAGTGTTTTTTTTTTTAAATATATAAAAAATAATACCGACGAAATTACTTCAATTTGGCATATCAGGGGCGAGGCAAAAAAAAAAAAAAAATTAATAAAATCACTTAATCTACATAGTCGGTCGAGCCATTAGTAATATCCGATGCAGTTAGGTAGAATCTATTGTTCATATCCACTATAAGTCAATCACTGAAGTAAACGAGTTTTCAAAGAAGATTCAGGTGCATGTTGCATTCAATTGTTTTTCTTACCCTCTGAAATGGAGAATCGATAAGTCCATCTTCGACGTGTATTGGACACCTGTATTAAACAAGGCATTAGCGCTGAGGCGACAGCTGAAAAACTATGCAGCGGATACGGTGATAACTGATCGGGCAGTTAGAAATTGGTTTGTAAAATTCCGTTCTGGAGAGAAGACCTTAAACGAGACTATTGAAGCAAAATTCCGGCCAATCAACAAGAGCTATAGCAAAAAGTTTGAATCAACGTCAATGTCTGATCAAAAGAAAAAGCGGAAAAAGAAGCGGAAAGAGCGATACGTAGGAGACTTTAGTGTGATTGGCGAATGTTTGAACGATTAAGTTCATTTTTCGACAAAAAAGCAGCCAAACTTTTGTTAATAAATTATTATTATTTTTTAGACTTTGACGGCATGATCATAAAACTGGCTTTGCGTGCTCAAATGTTCTCTCCCTTTACTCAAAGATTTTTCAGTAGATCACGAGCGTGTATCGAGTAATACATAACTCCGTAGTTGAATTTACAGTTAAGATTAACGACTTCATTATAAATTACTCTTCTCTTGGCAGAAGCATTCAAGCACTGCAGATACCTTCAGCCTTATATAAACTCAAATGCTCGTCCGGGCGTAGCCACATATAGAATATTTCGGATTTTTGTTCAAGGACGCTTCTAAATGAGTCTAATCACATTTTAAACACAACAGTTCATTATGAGAAATCAACAAACGTCAACATCAGTCGTGACAGTGTAAAATCTTAATCCCAGTAGTCATTGCGTACCTCTCTCAAAGAAGAGAATTTCTTTACATTCATTCTCCAGAAAGTTGAAAATAAATAAATAAATTAATTAATTAAAGAAGAAAGAAAGAAAGACAAAAAAAAAGGTGGTGGTGTAGCTCCCTAAATACAATTTATTTAAAATAATAATAAATACTCTACGCTGTCCTACAATTATTCATGTAATGGCTTTTTAAAATAAGTCCTTAGATAGGGAGAGGTCGAAAAAGATAATTCGATCCGAACAATTTTCACTAGCGTTCGCTCTTTCGGCCAAAATGTGCCAATTCACTTACTAAATATGATCAAGTTTTTAAAAAAATTTGTGACCTTTGGATTGAACACAAGACAACAAGACGGAAAGGTAGACAGACAAGATTGAATCGATTGGTATAATAAAAGTTGTGTATCTCAAATGATGTGGGATATAAAAAATTTGTGAACAATTTTTAATTCATATATATATGTATATAAAATACATATAAAATATAACCTATCTTTTTAATCATGTTTAAACTATGGATCCGATTATTGCATTATCTTAAAATGTGTTATGTTGTGCAAAAAAAATTTTGCAAACGAATATCTCTTAGCAGTTTTTCGCATTTAATGAAATTATATTGCGATTTTTATTCTCTTTGCGAGATTTTTTCATTGGAGAGAAGCAAAAAAAAAAAAAAAAAAAAGAAAAGAAAAAAAAAATCAAATTGGAAAAAGGATATATTAACGGCTGAAGCAGTGCTATATACTGTCAAAAGAGACAAACACATGTTTCGCGTATTAAATATTTAATTCATTAAGGGAAAACTAACTAACTATATTTATAAATGGGTATCATCGTATCACCGCTTGCAAATCATTTCCAAAGTAAAATCAAACTCTCAAGTGCACGTACTGAACAGCTTAAAACACATAGGAACAAGAAAAAGTTGGTGATATAAACATCAATACGTGAAAAAAAGGAAAGGAAATAGAAGAAAACATAATAAAAAACGCATTTGTTTGCTTATCTTTTTTATCTATGTTTACAAAATATGAGAGTTGAAAAATATTCAAAATAGGGCCGATTGTTAATGTCCTTAACCATAGACAATACAAATGAATTTTTACTATGCAAGAAAACCAACAATTGGAATTGACGAGTTGGGCATGCGCCAATCGAGAAATAAAATATGGCTGCCAGCTTGGAAAACCATAGATATGCAGCGATAACCCCACATTGAAAACAAATGCACAATAACCGTAGGAGATGCTTGTTTGTATTGATATCAAAGAGTAACCACTCAGTTGCAGTTGGACACTCGAAGGCTTTGCCCGGTTAAACGGAAAAATGATTATTTTTTGAAAACTGAGCGCCGACCGGTAAAAGAGAATAAATAAATATATATATATATAAAGGGGCTGCAGAGAATTTATTATAAATTCAGTTGTATATGCGTTTATGAGACGCTATCGGGAAAAACGATAATAATGGATAGCGGAAAGCGAAAAAATGAGGACCTAAAAATAAAGAAAAAACACAAAAAAGCGGGAGAGCAATAGCGCGGAATTATAAATGTCAAGTGTAATGTCACAAATCTCAGGATTCGACATCTATGTATAGAGGATAATGCCACCAATACTTTTAGGCGGATAACAAAGTGACGGAAAAACCGCAGGGATGCATTGAGAAACCGACACAAATGATTGCCAAAAAATTTGAGAAGAATATCAAAAAAAAATAAATAATAATAATAAAAAAAAAAAAAGCAAAAACACCCAAATACATTTATTTGTATTAAGTAAAAAACAAATAAATAAATAAATAATAAAATAAAAATCAAACTATATATTAACAATTTCCGTAAAAGCGTAAATTAATTTTAAATCTTTCCGAATTTGCAAGGTGTGAATTTCATTCCAGTGAAACAAAAAAAAAAAAATAATAATAATAATAATAAAAGAAAAATAAATAAAAAAGCAAATGAAAAATAAATTTTCAACTGGACGATACCTCCGAATACTGCCATTAAAAATTGCGCCACAATATTGCTCTCTCTCTGACATAGCAATATTAACCGTTCGCTCTTTTTAACGTTGAACAGAAAAATAATAATTAAAATAAAATAAGTGAATAAAAATTTTTCTATAAAAAATAATATAATAAATAGATGAAATTCATATAAAAACAACGAATTTTATAAAAAAAATTTATATAAAAAAAAAAAAAAAAAAAAAAAATAAGAAAAAAACGAAAAACAAAAGAAAAGGAAAAAGATACTGAAAATCAATCATAATCAAAATAAACGCGGAACTTGGATTTAGAAACAAAACAAAAATCATGTGGATTAGTTGCCATGCCGTTACAATTCTTTTCCTTTCACATTTTGGTAAGTTTTGCTTACTAATACAAAAATGAATTTTTTTGTATACACAACTATATTATATATGTTACAGTCGTATATGTCTGTACGCTAGAGAGATGGATGTGTGATAGGAGAAGAAGTCTTACAATTGCATTTTGAACACATTTTGCTAGTGTAGTTGTAAGAGATATTTCTTTTGATTTCCCGTTTTTTGTTTGTCCACTTAAATCGCGCTTTTTTTTCCATCTACACTTTTTCGTATATTCCGTAAATAAATTGAAGAGCAGGCGTAAACAATTCAAATTATGAAAGGAACAAAAATTGTTTATTGCATTTTATATAAAAATATTTATTTATTTATTTATTATTTTTTTTTTTTTTTTGCCACACAATTACAGATGTTAAGTAAAATAAAAATATTTCAATGGATTAACACTATATTGAATATATATGTAAAAGGATTAACACTAACAGTTAATCAGTTAATTACATCTCGTAAAACCAGCTTAAAATGAATTGTTGTTGGTATCCAAAACTTATATGTCGATTTTTATAAAAAGAATTATTTATGAAATATTCTTTGACGATAGATTTCACGACTATAGGTGCAACGGAGAATGATTATTTGCACTAACATATGAGAATATTTTAGGGCGTGGTAATGAATTCTTTGAAAACAATAACAAAAAAAAAAAAAAAACATATATTTCATCCCACATCAAATAAAATTGGTGGGGGGGGGGGGGAAGAGGGGGGGGGGGGGGGGGGCGAATAATCCGCTACTACTACTCTTAAAATTTATTAATAATTTTGTCCTTCCATATTGTGTTGGCAAAAGTTTTACTGAAAAATTTTAAAGTTGAGCAATTTTCTCTTGTATTATTAAGCTATATAAGCTTTCTCACTGATTGCCTTCAGATAGATATTAAAAAAAAAAAAAATAAAAAAAAAAAAACTAAGTGTTGCTCTCTGAGTACGTTTACCTATAGCGAATTTATTACGGGTGGCTAAGCTCATTGTGCATTTTTTACATTTTACATTAATTATAACTAAAAATATGTTAATAAAAGACTACAACCATGTTATATAGACTTTCGACACATATATATATATATATATGTGCATATATATATAGATATAGGAAGAAGTAAAGCTTAATATAGACGCAGTAAGAATTTTGAATTCGTTTCTACGCGCATCATATATATACATATATATATATAGTATATATATTACTGAGGTAATTGCATTGCATTTAGGTATTATAGTATGAAAATATATATATATATATATCCTCGTTTCGTCCCTATACGAAAGAAGTTTATCATAGTAAAACTGGAGGAGATATTATTCGAACATTCCCGAAGGTGTACAATTTTGATCGCCGAGAAGAGTTCATGTTTCATGTCATTTCTCTTCCCACCCTAAACAATATGTTTACTTTTTCGACTTTCTGAGTGTGATTGTAAACTCCCTTTGATTAAGTCATCGAATTCATTGCAAAAAATGTACAAATTGTACCGCATACGATGCTTATTCTACCCGGATCCTTATTTAATATAAAGTCCATAAAACAAGTGCTAAGATTTACTATCTAGTATGTGTAAAGCTAGACAGGCGGTAGCTTAAAAGATTATCATTTATTTTACAAATATTTACCAAAGAGGTCAAGCTCGCTATCATTCCTTTGTTTTAAGTACAACTGAATTAATGAGCGAAAAATTCGATGGCGATCTATAAATTTTATACTTTTTATCATTGCGTGTGTGTGCTTCAGTTTGCGGTAACCTACAATAAGAATACAAATAAGCTTTCACCAGAGAGTTTTATTGGAATTTTTAGATGAAAAAGGTAATATCGTAAGTTTTGTGAACCTTGAAGTATTACTGACTCTCTATCAGTATAGTATAATTTTTTTCGTGCGAAAATCTCAAAGCCGGTAAATTTACTTTTCTTGCCTAATTTGAAAGATGATGGTGGTAAGCCTTTATGAATGATGAATGGTGGATTGCGTTACGGTATTCAAGTGACAGAATAGTAGGAACATTAACATAGACAAAAAAGCTGAATATCCATGGCGACCCCATTGGCGAGGGGGTGGGGAGTGCGACATGTAATGTGCTTTTTTCCAACCAAGGAATACTACCAACTATAATTGATCCAAATGCGACTAAACATCGACGTGATAAACTAAAAGTTATGATATCATGGTCATATGAGTTCTCAGTATGAAAAAATTTTGCACCCATCTAGCAAAACTTGTTCGGCAAACGTTTAAAATTCGAACCTATAAAGTCCTAGCTGAGCCGTCGTATTCATCAGACCTTGCCCTATCCGAGTATCACTTGTTGCGGCTTTATATCATTGGAAGATACCAAAAATTGAATCGAATTCATTGATAGCCTCAAAAGATGAAGAGTTCCTCTGACGTGGTATATGAATGCTGCCAAAAAGATTGAAAAAAGTCGCGACAATTGACGGACAATGCTTTGAATAAAACAAACTAAGCATAAATATATGGGTATAAAAGTGAACATCTCTCTGAGCCAATATTGAAGTCAATATCTGATAAACATCTATATATCTATTATCCATATAATCAATATGTTTGCCATGGACCGCCTAACTTGAAATTTAAAGTTTACATGCTTTACGTAGAAGATATTTTATATGCTTTATTCTCTCATTCTCTTCGATTCCACTATCTGTCTGCATTTACTTATAAGCGTTTTTTATACCGATCTCTGGAGATTAGCGCTTTATTACAATAGTCCTTCCCTTTGTAAGACTATACAAATACGCTTTGGAGAACTTATACACACGTAGTATACATGCAGTTATTACATTTTCATATATTGCCTGTCATTTGAAAGTTTATTTATGTTTGCAAAAAGTGATAGAAAACAAAGTCAGTCGCTCAAGCGTCGTATATATGCAAGTAGTCTACAATGTATCCCCTATATATCTTTCTTTCTGACCATTACCGTGTGATACGTGTGGAGAACTGGTCACTTAAAAAAAATAAAAAATAAATTTTAATTCGAATATGAATATTTGGTCCAAATATTTGCCAACGGTAAATGAAATTTGATTGCAAACACGGGCATGGTCTGTCAATGGTGAGCAAAACCTTTTGATTGAAAACTTATAGCAATTATTAATCAAAGATTGTTGTTGAAAAATATCGAAACTATTTTCAAAACTGAAAAAATCTTATTGATCGGCCAACTGACACGCCTACAATTACTAAAATACTTTGAAAACTCCTTTTTTTGTATTGCGTAGATAAGGCAGGCGTCCAAGTTTCTGCTCCAAGTGAGATATCATTTTTCATGTGCTTGCCGTGTGTTTATTCAAGTCTAGTTTACGCTGAACTCTTTTAACAAACATCTTTCGGTATTTTGATGCACAATTACGTTCGTATGTTATTATGCACACGTTGGGTGTGGAAATAAGTTCTGTCCAATTAAATTGCTTGTTTCACAAAACGTCCATAACTCTATCGGTTTTCCCGGTATATTTTGATAGACTTAACTTGGACCTTGATGATTGTACGTTATAAGTTTCACTTGTGTACAAGCTGTCGTTGAATACATAGCAAAGTGTAAAGAGACGAATGGCACCATGCAACTGACATTCCGCTATTACAGGTTGTATCCTTTTAAAAAGACTGAAACCTCGAAAGTGATTAAGTTGACTTGAGGTGAAAATGCGGTAAGTTATGAAATAATTACAAAGTGTTTTACGAGATTTTGTGTAAAAATTCTCGAGCTTGCAAATAAAAACCCAAAAACGAGCTTGCGGTACGTAAAGGTACAGAGGGAAGGAAATAGAGAGCTAATAAAAAAGAGCAAAAATCATTGAGTTGACATCTGCTTGCATATGTTTGTTGTCGCTGATGTCGTTATGTCGTGATGGTAGGCAAGAGGTGACGAAAGAAAAAAAGAAAGAAGTAGGGAGGTGGTGGCCGCAGCCTGGTGATTGTGTGCCCAATCGAGGATAAGTGTTATATTCTTACTGACTGAACTCGACCGCACTCACATTTGAAGCAGAGCATACTAACTGGGTAGTCGCGATTCTTAACACTACTCGGCTACTCAAGCGGATAAATTAATTCATAAAATTAATCAAATTATCTCAAGCAATGAAAAATCTGTATTGTCCCAGGACAATCATCCATATTGCTTGTGGGAAAGTGGAAAATTCTTGCCTAAATGACAGAAGTGCTACATCTTGACATACATCTCTTCATATTGCGATATGCACGGGATGATAAGTTGTAAACAAATGAAATTTATATAGGGCATAAAAATGCCAACACGTTGTCTATAGTTGAAATTTTAGAAAAATTGAATGCGCTACCGTAGGCTATATGTATCGCACACTTTCAACGGATAAAACTTATTCCTACAACTAACAAATAACAATTTCGCGTACTTTTTTCTCCCGTCTATTCTTCATTCATATATTATTTATGCACATATCGTTTTTTTTTTTTTTTTTTTCCAATTTATCAGAGTCCAAAGTTTTAGGATAGCATGAGCGCCAAGTTTTTAAAATCATAATATCTTTGTAAATTTGGTCAATACATTCAATACATATGCATATATATATTGCGTTTATATAAAGAAAAAGAATTTATTTCCAAGAAATTGATTGGCTTGTACATACTTAGATACAATACCTTGAAAAAAAACTCCTTTAATTTTTCATGCCATGAATATCCAGCCTTTCAAGCCATCATATTATATACTCAGGCAGCTAACACAAGGTCAACTTCATTATTCATTTGTCCATCAGTCGAAACGTAATAAGAACTTGAGGATATATACAAAAAATAATTCAATGGTACAAATGAAATTTTTAATAGAATTTACGATATTTTAAAACATGCAAATTTCGTAATTATTCTTAAATCCGTGATAGGAAATTACTATCTCTCTTATGGTCGAAAATCGAGGCAATTTAAATGAAAAAATCTCCAAGCTGTGTAAATGAAGACAAGCAAGAACATTATAGTCGGGTAAGAGCGACCATTATATACCTTAAACACCATTGACTAACGTAATTCTTATTTTCGTATGAAAGTACAACTTACACTTTTTTGCCCTATGAAGGTGAAAATCGTTATTAGAATAGGAACCAAAATTTTGGAAGAGATGGTCCAAATTTGGCACAATTCATTTTTTTTTTGTATTAAATTACTATTATGATATAATATTGAAGCATCATGAAGCATTGGTTTCGTTATATGAGACGACGAAGTTCAAAAATTACCGCAGGCAGGCCCAAAAAAATTTTCATACCACTACTACTTAGCCACTTTTGACGAGATATGACGATTTTTCAAAATTGGTCGTTATATGGGGAGTGATCGAAGAAGTGGACCGATTCGAATTATTTTCAATAGTGTTCGTCCATGAGCCAAAGCACTTCGCTGTACCAAAATTCATTAAAATAACTCATGAAATGTGACTTGTAGCTGCACCACAACTTTTCATGGACAGACATTAGACGGACAGACAGGCTCGATCAGTATGATAAAAAGTGAGTCCATCTAAAGCCCGTTTGCGTCCGCGCTAACTTAATATACCCTATACCTTGAGTTATGTAGGGTATAGTATATATAAAGCAAGAGCGTTGAGCAAGATGCATGCATTCGCGATTTTTGAAGAAATCAGAATCCATCGCGGAGGAATTACTAAAACTCTTTTCCCTCCGATTTGTTTGTGGTGCAATTAATGCAAACGGCTTAAACTATTATATATTTTGCGAAATCACTTTTATTTACTTTCCAAGAGTAAAAAATTCATAACATTTGCGGCAGAAGATGCCCACATTAAACTGGACATGAAATGTAGTTAATATGCGGTCATAATGACAGTGAGCAAACAATTCAAGAATTATTTAATCAAATGTGATATCAGTGGACAATGCTTTGGTTGTTGGTTGTAGTTTTCAAAAATAAAATAAATAAATGAATAAATAAAGTTTGATATTAACTATCCAGCGGTTCTTTATGATCAATCGATAATGTAATAGAAGGTGCGCCAAAAAGCCACTATTCACGTGAATGACAGTCATCACCAAGACGTAATTATGTAAATGTTATACGATAATGCAAAGCTTCGGCAGAGAAAGTGATAAACCTTAGCAAATTTTTCTTGATGAACTTAACCCTAGATATAGACTTAGCATCGTATTCCGGCATTGTATGCGATTGCCAGTCACAGATGCACCTGAACGTGTTTTTTCCTTTTTTTGTTATGGGTTTTATCATTTTTCATGAAATTTGATAAACTGAAGCATTTAGTCACAACAAAGCTCATCAATATTTATTTGGTGATAAAACATTGCTTTGAAGTTACGATGGAAACTTAATTTGATCAGATATCACAGATGATGTATTATTCTCTAACACTTGAAACACTGACGATTGACTCAGTGCAGCTATATTATCATCATAGAAAAAGTAAAAAAAAAAGGAATTTTCATGCTCTGCCGTATAAGGCAAGGGCGGCTGATTTTTTCTATTTTCAGAATCAAAGATTTGGTATGGGCGTTGTAGGTATGCTTTTTGAAATGTTTAGCTCTCTTCCAAAACCCTTTGCACGCGATATCTTCATTTTCGTTAACAGGAGAATGTGTTACCACACATACTACACCGTTTTTCAGACGAACAGTTGGACAAACGAACAGTCGAACTTTTTTCGGTGCATTCGAAATTTGAAATTGGCGAAGAATTTATGTATATTATAGGTTATGGGGTTTTTCCAGCTTGTTTCTGCGCCTTATAAAGGTTATTGGAAGAACAATTAAATTGAGACACTATAATATTAGATAGGCGTGATCAATTTTTCCCAACTTTTATAAGTTAATACAGCAATGCCCGTAGAATATGTATTCACATTTTTGTAGATTTATCTGCTCTAGTTTATGCGTAATGGGCGATAAATACTGTAGGCGTGTACTTCAACCGATTTTGCCCATTCGCAATACCAATTTGTTTGCATTAACTTCCAATGCATTTGCCAAATTAGAAATCGGCAGCTTCATTTCTGCCACCTGGTAAATGTTTACAATACACTTTATACAGACGGACAGAGATACAGACGGATAGAGGGACAGAATTAAGCCGATTCTGCGTTTGATTCTGATCAAGAATGTATATACTTTTTAGGATCGCTGAAGCTTCCTTCTGGGCGTTGTAAACTTTTTGACAAAGTGAATATAACCCTTACACTTCGATGTGGGGTATAAAATAATTTTAAAAGCAAAAATAAATTAATGGAAGATCGAGTATATGGATGCCTTTGCAAACATCTGCATTCATATAGAAGAGATATTGCCGAAGAACTTAAATGATTGCTTAGCCTAACGAAAAGCTTTGAATATAATTTTTAACAGAAAGAATATTCCGATCAAAGGGACCACGCCGCGTTAACAAGAAAGATCAATAGGATCAAAGTCCTTTTTTTTAATATATAATCGTAAATATTAATTCCTTTGTCGGTTCTTATATACGTATCACGAAAGTGATGTATTATACATAATAGATTTA